ATACCTCAGCAAGAGAGCTGCCACCCCCAGCTGGCCCCAATGTTGTGGACCTGGGAGAGCTGTCCCCAACTCTTAATGGTCCTGGGAAAACTGAGGCCCAACACCACTGCAGAAGGTAATGCTGGCTCTACACCTCACCATATGTTGGGAAGAGCTGGCCCTTATGGCCTGGGCACAGAAGAGATGGCCCTGACCCTCACCTTGGAGGAGGAGTAGTCCCAGCGGAGGCCTGGACTGACCAACTCAGCTACTACCCAGGCCCACATTTAGTGCTTTGAATGGGCCCAACCCAGCTTGTAGGAATTGGAATTACAAATGATTGTGAGCTGCCATATGGGTACTGGGAACTGAACCTGGGCCATCTAGAAGAATTGTCAATGTCTTAACCATTGAGCCATCTCTCCAGTTTCTATTTTTTTTTTAATGAAATAAAGCTTTTTTTTTTTTTTTTAAATTATAGGAGTGGTGGCACACACCTTAAATCCTAACACTTGGGAGGCAGAGGCAGATCTGAGTTTGAGGCCAGTTTGGTCTGCACGATGAGTTCCAAAATAGCTAGAGCTACATAGACCTATCTCAAAAAAGAAAACCAATTGTATGTGGGGTATTCATGTTTGCACATGTGTAGAGTGTGCATGTGGAGGACAGAGGACAGCGTTAGGTATCCAGTCTGTCACTGAACCTGGAGCTTACATTTTAGCAAGCAGGTACTCAGGGTCCTCCTGTCACTGCCCTGCTTTTGCCATGGTTGGGGATCTTACCTCAGGTTCCCATGTTTGCACAACAGGAACTCTACCACGGAGGCAGCTTCCCAGTTGCAAATAGAAAAATTTAGATTCATTCTTTTTCTTGTAACTCTGTTCTTTTACAATCAATTGTTCGTTTTCTGATGTATTCTCTTGAACTTTTAAGAACATGAAGACATTTCCACAGAATGGTGTTTGTAAAAGGATTCAATATTTTTTTGGTTTTGATTTTTAGTAGGATCATAACTACATTTTACACTTCAGTTTCCAGCACCCACATCAGGTGGCTCAAAACTATAACCCCAGGGATCTGACACCCTTTCTAGCCTCTCAGTACATCTCCACACAAGGCATTCCCTCACACAGACACACGTGTACACATGCAGCTATGTCTGTGATCCATTTTGAGCTGAACTTTTAGGTGTTTTGCTTGGTTGTTTTTGGTATTTTTGACACACAGTGTCTTGCTATGTAGACCCAGCATGTCTCAAACTCATAGAGATATACCTACCTCTGCCTCCCAAGTGCTAGGACTAAAGGTATGCAACCCTACCCTTAGCTTGAGTTAAATTTTGAGAAAAGTATATGTCTACATTTAGAATGTGTGTGTTTGTGTGTGTATATGTGCCTGTGTGAGTATACTCATAGACACATTCATGAATGTGTATGGTTTTCCTAGAATTTCCTTTGCTCTTTTGTGAAAAACCAGTGCGTCCATATTGATAGCAGTCTATTTCCGGGCATCTATTTCTTTCATTTGTTTATCTCACCAGTACTGTAGTGTCTTGAGTACTAAAACTTCAAAATAACCTGTGAAATCTCTGTTTGCTTGAATTCAGGGCCTTGTGCATGTTAGTCAAGCTTTCTACCACTGAGCAACATGCATAGGCCTAGCTGAGTTGTTTTTTTTTTTTTTTTTAATGAAAGGAACTTTTTAAAGGCTTAATTTATTTTTGTGTGGATATGTCTTTGTGAGTGAGTGTATGTGCCAGAAGAGCCTTAAAAAAAAAAAGAGCTGGGCAGTGGTGGTACACATCTTTAATCTCAGCACTCGGGAGGCAGAGGCAGGTGAATCTCTGTGTTTGAAACCAGCCTGGTCTACAGAGCGAGTTCCAGGACAGCTAGGGCTACACAGAGAAACCTTGTCTCACCACCTCCAACAAAACAAAAAGAAAAACCAAAAGCCCTTGAAATTGAAATTAAGTGTAGGCTCTTGCCCTTTCTAGGTAAGCATTCTATGATTGATTTGTAATCCCCATCCCTGTAGCCCCCTCCCCCTTTAGAAGATTAAAATGTAATATTTAATGTTCACTTTGTATGGTATCCTCAACCTGATTGTTTTTATATTATCTACTAGTAACCGTGCACAAACCTTTCAAAAACATATTAGTGATGATAATCTGAAGGTAGAGGCATTAGCTGGATGTAGATATGGACCTTACATTCTATTAGTGTCCTGAAACAATGTAATAAAAGGAAAGAAAGTGGAGTTACCAGTCTCTAACGTACATATGCCTTCAACAATTAAGACATATCTATAGAAAGAACATCTTCAATTTTATTTTCCTTTTTTTTTCTGCATTGTTGTTTGAGAGATTTGGGTAAAAGGCAACTAGAGGATATTGGAAATGAACAGAAATAGGAAGTTGTTTCATATAGGAAATTGACTTATTTATGATTAGTATTCTCATGTTATTTTACAGTTTTAACACAAAACAAATAGAAAACAATAATATAAAATAAGCTTCTTTTAGGTAATGTTGTACTATAAGCATGTATCCTTGAATTGTCTATTGTGTATCTATGGTCAGCCTGCAGCTTTGTACCTGTGATTATATTGCTAGGGAATTAGAAATAGAAATCTTCTTTGGAAGCTCATGGTCTAGAAACCTTTGCCCTGTGATATACCAGTGATAACTGTTGTAAGCTGGTAGTTGCCAGGGCATGGTGTCATACATCTTTAGTTCCAGCACTGGGGAGGCAGAGGCAAGTGAAGCTTTAAGACCCTGCCTAAAAGGGGAATGGCACATTTTCTTTTTAAAAGCATATTAACAGTTGTTACACCATAATTGTCATACAGAAGACTCTGTCACCCAAAAAGGTGTGGAGATTTTCCCACCAACAAGTAAGCAATTCTTCAGAGACAGACATGGTCTTAGTGGGCCTGACACTGTCAATCTTCAGACTGCATCAGATCCTACAGGTTGAGCGCAAGTCCTTAAAATTGTCCTTCCCCGGAGATGAGGTTCTCCTTCTAAATCTGGTTTTGAGCAAAGTGAGCTTCCTTCTCCTTCGCTTCTGGATTTTTTGTTTTGAGTATCTCTCATGGAAACATTTTCTGGTTATCGAGGATGTTGTTACAAAGAGTGCAGGCAAAGGCGGTACGTAGGGGGTGTGTTGTAGGACTACCATGACTTCTCTGAGGAACCTCAGTGTCTACAGGGATCTGGCCCTTTGGTTATTGTGGAGACTTTATTGCATAGTCTTGATTGAAGGATGTAGAAATATGATTGGACTCAAAGGAGTATGATCTAATGCCCAATGGTAAGAAAGCCCCATGAAGCTTCTTGTTCATTTCCTCTGGACCTCTCTACGGCCTTCAGTCTTTCTGGGTAGGAGGCTGCTGTGGTGAATGTGGTATGAAGGGTGGTGGTCTTCTGATCTACCTGAATTTCTTTATGATCATTTTCAAGCCTGGGAAGATAAGAATATATTTTGATTTGTGTGTCTTAAATTGGGGAGGAGAAATTGTAGTTTTATGGTCTGCTTTGGGGAGGAAAGGGGGAAGATAACAGAATAAAGATAAGATAGAGGCTCTGTTTTTTGTTGTTGTTGTTTTTTTTTTTTAATGCTTATTCTGGTCATTTAGGAAGGAACTATGACTGTGTGAGTAATGAGCCAGGACATTAGACAAAACCAAAACATTTCATAATATCACAAGTGTATTACGTGTATTATCAAATACAGCAGTAAAATTACCTTATTGACAACTTTTGTGTTAGGCTCAGTTTTCACATCAGACACTAGACACTAAAAGGGATGCAGGTTAAGATGTTAGTTTTGTGACTTTATTTTTAGTTTGAGCTTCTACTCAAAATAAAAACAAATAAGTCTTTTTTTAAATGCAGCACGTCAGTCTTTGCCTCTTTTTTTTTTTTTTTTTTTCTAGACAAGGTTTCACTATGTAGCTATGGCTGTAACTTGCCTTGTAGATCAGATTGGCCTCAAGCTTATAGGGATCCTCCTGCCTCTGCCTCCAGAGGGCTGGAATTAAAGGTGTGCACAACGACTTACAGCTCACTTCCCTCTATAAAGCAGAGTTGGGGTTTTATAAGACACATTTTAATATCTGCTTAAGTTTAAGGGTTAAGAGAGGCACTTGGGGTGGACAGTGGTGGCGCATGCCTTTAATCCCAGCACTTGGGAGGCATAGCCAGGCAGATCTCTGTGAGTTCGAGGCCAGCCTGGTCTACAGAGCATCAAAACTACACAGAGAAACCCAGTCTCTAAAAACTAAAGCAGGTGGGAGAGAAGAAGGGAAGGAGGGAGGTACTTGGAGAGAAACAGTACCAGAAAGTGTGGGGTTCTCTGAGAGACTGTTGCCAGTTTGTACATTTTGAATTGCATGACTGCTGCCATTGCTTGGTAAGTGGTAAGTGGAGGGAAGAACAACATTGACCAGCATCATTTTTAGTACGTTCTAAACTAATTTTAAGAGGAGAGCTTTGAATTAAATTGTCTACGGTCTATTTAACTCAGCTTTAACTTCCTGATAAATACCTTGTTACACAGTGATTTAAGAAAACAATTTAAGAAAATATTTTTCTTTTTGGTTATGTGGACATCATTAAAAGAGATGTTTCATGTTAAATACTTTTGTGTTTCCTTAGCTTTCTGGTTTGCAGTTTCCTTAGCTTGTGTTAACTCATAAGTAACTAATCTAGCTGGCTAACATGTTAAAAGATATAAAACCAAAATTATTTTAGGGAGCTTTGACGATCGCTGTGCTTTACTCTGAATAGAGTCCATTCCTAGTGAATGAGTTTCTCAGTTTACTTTAAAATGTAGTTGGTTGTTTTTTGTTTTTTTTTTTTTTTCTGGGCACATGCCTTTAGGCTTAGCACCCAAGAGGCAGAGGCAGGCAGATATCTGCGAGTTTAAGGCTAGGACAGTCAGGGCTACACAGAGAAATTTTTATCTCAAGCTCCCTCTCCCAACTAGTTTTTTAACTGTATTTTTCTGTATTTTATACAGGTTACAAAATGTCCTCCTATGCTTGAAATCTATAGACTACATGTTCTTCAAGAACTAAGCCGTGGTTTTTCATCTTCTGGAAGTACACATAAGCATAAATATGATGCCAAAACTCATTTTCATTCTCTGACTGCAGTTGATTTGGACATACTTCTGTGTTGAAGAGAAGTATACACACTGAGGACATCATTGTTCAGAGACTGTCGTGTAGGATCATGGACCATTCTAACAGGGAGAAAGATGAAAGACAGCGGACAACTAAAACCATGGCACAAAGGAATACACACTGTTCCCGACCATCTGGTACCTCAGCATCCTCTGGAGTTCTCATGGTGGGACCCAACTTCAGGGTTGGCAAGAAGATAGGGTGTGGGAACTTCGGAGAGCTCAGATTAGGTGAGATTTTGGTTATTTCTGTCACTTCTAGTAACAACAACAACAATAGCTACTCTCTCTGTTGTGTTTCAAGATAAGCAGGTGATGCTTTAGTGGGAACTTTCTCTTAAGTAGGACTTACTAGCATAAGAAATAAGGATTTTGCAAAGGGAATTATAGTTATTATTAGTCATGGTGCTATTATCCAAGGCTTCCTTTATGTGTGATAGGATTTTTTTTTTCATTTCTTTTAAATATTTATTTATTATGTATACAATATTCTGTCTGTGTGTATGTCTGCAGACCAGAAGAGGGCACCAGACCTTGTTACAGATGGTTGTGAGCCACCATGTGGTTGCCGGGAACTGAACTCATGACCTCTGGAAGAGCAAGCAATGAATGCTCTTAACCACTGAGCCATCTCTCCAGCCCGTGTGATAGGATTTTTAATTTTCCATTAAGTTAGACTATGTCTTTATTAATGTTTAAAATGTTTTTAAAGTTTATTTTACGAGTATTTTTATTATAGGTTTTTCAAGACAGGGTTTCCCTGTGTAGCTCTGGCTGTCCTGGAACTCCCTCTTTAAGCCCGGCTGTCCTGGAACTCAGAACTTCTGCCTCCCGAGTGCTGGATTAAAGGTGTACACCACCACTGCCTCAGCTTAATCTTCAAAACAAACAAACAAACAAAAAACTTTAGTTTTATGTATGTTTATTTGTCTATGTGAGTATAGTCTGTGTGCGTGCAGGTACCCAAAGAGGCCAGAAGAGCGCATTAGATTCCATGGAGCTAGAGTTACAGGTAGTTGTAAGCCACGTTATGTGAGTGCTGACAAGGAAACTAGCATCCTCTGGAACAGCGTAAGCACTCTTAACTGTTGAGCCATTTCTCCAGCCCCTAAATAATTGTCTAAGCTCTGGATTATTACAAAAATCCATCGTAAGAAGCTTTGACTTTTGGGCCACTGTGAGAGTAGGAACATGGGATAATTTTTTTAAACCTCTGCTACTTTTGATGATTCTACAAAAGAAAACAAATTTTTTATGACGATGATTATCTTTTTCTTTTTTAAATAATTTAATTTATTTTTTGTACATTGGTGTTTTGCCTGCATGGATATCAGTGGGAGGGTATTGGGTTCCATAGAACTGGAGTTACAGATAGTTGTGAGCTCCCATGTGGGTGCTGAGAATTGAACCTGAGTCCTCTGGAAGAGGAGCCAATACTCTTAACCACTGAGCCATCTCCCCAGTTCCTGATTATCTTTCTCAATCCTTAGAGAAACATCACTATCCTAGCTGTATATCTCCAGGTACAGAATTGAATCAGAAGAAGCTAGGAATGAATTTATTCTTAATTATAGAAGGCTAGCAACTTGGAATTGAACTGTACCAGGATAATAAAAAGGCCTTCATATTTAGAGATGTGTTCATGTTTGGGTTAGCCAAGCCACTTGCTGAGAATAGAAGATGTGTAATTTCACATTATATGCCTTTCTAGCAACTACTCAGTTGCTTCAACAATGAGTGTTGCAAATATTCATTCATTTGGTGACTTAACTGCTTTTGTTAGATATGTTGTGGATTAAACGTCTACAAAATTACCTCTGAAAGACAGTTTCTAAAGCACAAACTTGTGAATTCTCAGAGCCAAAATGGCTCGATTTCTATGAAGACCAAGAAAGACTGTAGTTAGTGGAAGTTTGTCAGTGCCCTCTCTGGCCTCCTCAGGCACATGTATGCATGTGGTATACATAAACTCACATCTGCACATGTGAGTGTGAAGACACATAAACACAATTTTTTTTAATGTCTGTGCAGGATATGTGGAAATGGCTCAGTTAAGGTAGTAGTTACTGCACTCCTCCTCATCCATACTGCTGCTTTGGTTGGCTTGATCTTGTGTAGCTCATAGCGTTCACAGCCGTGTAAGCTGGTGATTGCTTTTCTTCCCCAGCAATGTGTACATAGGTGGGAGGACAGAGTAGAGGAGAGATCGCTAATACTATCTCTTTATATAACAATACTAAAGACCTTTGATAAAGCTATATGAAAACTTAACTACTGTAGAAGCTTCTCTGTGTGTGTGTGTATGTGGTTTAAAACGGTTCTACCCTATAACAATGGACAGTGCCTATCTCTCCTAGACACCATTGGCTATCAATTTTTATAACACCCAATGCCAGGTATGGGTTGCCACTTTTTTTTCTTTTTTTTTTTTTTTTTAGTTTTTCGAGACAGGGTTTCTCTGTAGCTTTGGAGCCTGTCCTGGAACTAGCTCTTGTAGACCAGGCTGGCCTCGAACTCACAGAGATCCGCCTGCCTCTGCCTCCCGAGTGCTGGGTTACCACTTTTTAAGTTGTTGGTCAGTGGGACTCCATATTCCAGCCCCCCTCTCCCATTTCCAGAAATTGCCATTGTTCTTGGTTACCCTCTAAAACTTGATATTAAGACCCTATTGCTTGGGGCTGGAGAGATGGCTCATCAGTAAGAGCATCTACTGTTCTTGTAGAGAACCTGAGTTCAATTCCCAGCACCCATGTAATGGCTCACAACTGTCCATAACTCCAGATTCAGGGAATCTAATGCTGTCTTCAGCCCTCCAAGGGCATCAGGACATAAATATGAGTAAAGCACACATACACAAATCTTTAAAGAGAGACAGACACAAACTGACTGAGACTCTGTTGCTAAAGATACTATCTACTTAGTCATAGGATGTGGAGAAATCAAATTGTTACCAACCTGGAAGTTTCCTCACTACTGGCTAACTTTCATAGTGTAGGAAAGATTACTTCTATAAAAACTTATTTTTATATACCGTTTCCTTAGATAGGGCAAATTTGAAGACTTAGGAGAGAAAGTATCAGTTGGGATGGTTGGCGTTCAATTGTCAGCTTGACAGAAGTTATAATCACCTGGGAGATGAGCTTCTAGGTTTATCTCTAGGGGACTATCCTGATAGTGTTAATTTTGGTGAGATCTCCCATCTGCTGGTGGCACCATTCTCTAAGCAGGAAATTCTAGATAGTTAAAAAAAAAAAAAAAGTAGAGAAAAAAAGCTAGATACTAGGGAACATGCATTACATTTTTTTCCTTTTTATTAAGTTTCTCTCTCTCTCTCTCTCTCTCTCTCTCTCTCTCTCTCTCTCTCTCTCTCTCTCTCTCTGTGTGTGTGTGTGTGTGTGTGTGTGTGTGTGTTTGTGTAAGTCATAGGTCAGGGTAGTTTCCAGGGATTGAACTCAGATTGTCATGGCAAGTGCCTCACTCACCATGCAGTCTGGAAGCCCTGTTTTCTTGACTGCAGATGCAGGTAACTAGCTCCTCAAGGCAATTTCCTGCTGCTGTGATCTCCCCACTGTAATGCATTGTAGCCTGGAACTGTGAGCTCAATAAACCATTTCTCCTTTAAATTAATTTTGTCAAATTGGGTCATGGTTGCGTATGCATTTAAATATTTATTTATTTATTATGTATACAATATTCTGTCTGTGTGTATGTCTGCAGGCCAAAAGAGGGCACCAGACCTCATTCCAGATGGTTGTGAGCCACCATGTGGTTGCCGGGAATTGAACTCAGGACCTTTGGAAGAGCAGGCAATGCTCTTAACCACTGAGCCATCTCTCCTGCGCCCTTACGTATGCATTTAATCCCAGCACTCAAAAGGCAGAGCCAGGCCTTCTCTGTAAATTTGAGGCCAGTCTAGTCTACAAAAGCTCATTCCAGGACAGGCTCCAAAGTACAGAGAAACCCTGTCTCGGAAAAATAATAATAATAATAATTTTGTCAAGGTATTTTATCACAACAGGAAAAGAAACAAGGATATTAATAAATCAATATTTATTGACAGTCATTGGGATTATTTTGAAGATGTTTTATATTATTTAATGAAATTTTTTCCAAAATACTAGTGAGAAAGTGAAATAGCCATATTCAGAAATCTAAACATTGAATTCTTAAATAGAAAAATTATCACAGTAGACTAAAGGATTAAATACAAAACCAAAACTATACAGCTCTTAGAAGAAAACTAAGACAAAGCTAGGCATAATAGTGCACACCTTTAATTCCAGCGCTCAGTAGGCAGAGACCGATGGATCTCTGAGTTTATGCCCAGGCTGGTGTCTGTGTGAAGTTCCAGGCTAGCTAAATTATACAGTCAGACCCTGTCTCAGAAAACAAACAGAAACCCCAAAAACTTAGCAGTAAATTTTACTATTCTTAACCAGGTGATAGGGCTCATACCTTTGACCAGCACTTGGAGGCAGAGGCAGAGTCAGGTGGATCTCTTCTTGAGTTCAAAGAAGTCAGCCTGGTCTACAGAGTGAGTTCCGGGACAGCCAGGGTTACACAGAGAAACCCTGTCTCAAACAAGCAAAAATTTTACTCTTCTTATGTCTGTTTCATGATAGTAATTTTTAAAATGTGATTCCAAAGGCCTAGTAGGTAGAAGAAAATTGATATAGTAGACTTCATAAATATTGAAAAATTTAAAGACAGGATCTCATTGTATCACCCTGAATGGCCTGAACTTGCTATGTAGACCAGGCTGGTCTTGAATTCACAAAGTTCCGCCTGTCTTTATCTCCTGAGTGCTGCCATGCCTGGCAACAAATAAAACCTTTTGTATTACCTAAACAGAATCGTCAAGGAAGAACAGTATGGCTTGGTCAGTAAAAAGTGTTGTTGCTCGTTCCCGAGTTCAATCCTTGGGACCCATGGTGGAAGAAGGGAACTATTGAGGTTTATTTTGGGGCTAAGCCCATTAAGCCTCAGGATCCAGAAAGATTCACTATGGCAGACGAAAACTGGCTGGAGAAAGGGATCTTGGAGTAGAACAAACTGACTGACTCAAGCACAATTCTCCTACAGGTTTCTTTATTTCTTGGGGAAGGGAAGAAGTACATGGGGGGGGGGGTGGCATTCTCCACAAAGCTTTCAGTTTACGTAGGCATACTGACAAGTTAGCAATTTCATAGGCGCTAACAATAGTATCAAGCATGCATTTTCAGAGTAAGAAA